CTGGTGCCAGCCCTGACACAAGTAGAGCTGATGGCACATATATCATGTCCAAAATAATCAGGACAGGCTCTGGGTAACAGGAGCCTCCCCTCCTGATTGACAGGAACAACTTTAGATCACAAATGTACACAGTGGCACATACTGCACCTCTGGGTCAGCCTCATATCTTCAGCTATATATATGGCATGGCTGTGTAAAGTTTGATTCAAACTAGCTGCTGCAATATACATGTGATGGTAAGGGATAAACTGTAAGGACTGTAGTGCGGGGGTGGACCTGGGAACATTTTTAATTTCTGCACCTCACAACAAAATACTCTCACTCTTTCGAGGGGTGTTCAGAGCACACCTCACCCCTCTATCTGGACCCAAAAGGAAATGTGTCAGTTGTGTCATCCCCTTGTATCAATGGTCCTGGCAGGTAGCATGTGACTCTTCAATTCTAGTTAATAGGAAAACATTAGCATTGTTCAAAATACAAAAATGTATGTCATGATGGAAATGTCTATGACTCCAGAATGTACAAAAAAACCAAGCCCCTGCTGGCTTGTATAAAAACTAGTATGAGCTTTACTGCCACCTGACTGTTCCAAATTTGGGGTGGGGTGAGACTAGCTGTCAATCATGGCACAATGGCACCATGTGGTATTGTGGAACTTGGAATGTGACATACGTTCAGGTTCCACCCTTCCTCAGCAGTGATCTTGACCTTGCAGTCTGCTAATCAGAAGCAGTTGTTTCCCTGCCTGCACATCTGCTTGTGATTTAGGCTATACTGGCAGAGTTTTGCAAAATGTGCAGCAACTTCTGTATATATAATGTTATATTGTTTCCATATAGTGTGAACAATAGTGTTAATGAACAGTACTACACATGGATATACCATCTGTCACCCAGAACAAGTGTAATTTTTTTTGGTTTTCCTGTGTGAAGATTGTTTTAATAAAACAATAGTATTTGACATGAAGCATACAATGATCTAAATGATAAGCTGATGTAGATGGTACAGTTCTCTTCTCCACAGAGTGCCACAGAAGATGCCTATACTATAGGATGGGAAAATTACACACCTACACAATACTACAGTGCTGAAGACACAAGTCAACTGACCGGGCAGACTGTTCTCATGTACACCTTGGATGTCCACACCACCTCATGGAAAATCACCCAGTCCAGCTGGGCTTCCTCTCCAAACAGCTGGGAAATACAAAATGTACAGCAGCCATGAAGTCTTCAGTCTGTACATACAGGCAAAACTGTCTACATACAATCTATAACATTGTCACGTTACATAAATCTACATATGTAAGAGAAATTCTAAAAGCACAAAAAAAAATGTGAATGATTTTTACTTGTCTATGAGATAATGACATCATATCTTCATCAGTTAATACTCAAGATAGGTGATGAGGTGAAAGGATGTGAATTTACATCCACAATTAGATATTTGCAACTTTCCTAAATTCCTTGATCCATTTGTAACTATATATATTAAACATATAAATCAACACGCAAACAATATTCTACTGATTCCTACACATAGCTGGCACATTTTGTTGTCTTGGTCAAATGTTCTTTGCATTTCAGAAAACAAACTGATAGATCTTTTGCTTTATTAAGAGATTTTTGTCTAAGATTAAGATGTTGACCAAACAAAACTTGACATCTAGAGGAAATCCCAATGCATCATAAAGTAAGTCAAGGCTACTTTCTATTTACAAAACATGATCTGAGAAATTTCAAAATATATTAGTATATGGGTCTTTGTACAAACAACACCTAACAACTGAACTGTCTGAACTGTACAAGATTGTTATGAAACATATAGCTATCTTTCCTCATCTAAACATTCTAATTCATCTGAGTGAGTGATGAGTGAGTTCTTTATGTTATAAAAACAACAAATTATGATTGTCTATTGGCCCTTCCTCAGTCAAATGACTAAAAAGAATCTTGCATCACATGATCAAAGTAATGTGATTATGTCATGTCCATAAAACTTCCTTTAAAAACAAACCTTGAAATATAGCGTTATCATTCAGAATTTTTTTTCATTAGAACCTTAGGTCTTTCCAGTGTCACTACATGCCTATCAAACTAGAGCAGGCATTTAAACAGTCTTCTGGAATGACTTTGATTGACATATCTTGACCTTTGTAACCAAAGGTTATCTCTTGTCCTTGGCTGTCAAATTAGAACTACTGAGTTATGTAGGCCATGTTTTCCCTCAGAATGATGAATGAAATCTTTGTTTCTAGACAATAATGCAGTAACAAACTACACAACCTTCTCCAGACTTGTAAGACTATTTCTTTCATTTCTACGTATGGCCTTGAAATTATATTTTATCATGAACAGGCCCTAGGCAAGAATCAAAACAGCTTTAAATCAAAACTTCCTTGCAAACATGCATTCTAGTTTAGTTGAGGAGCTTCCTGTCTTCAAAACATCACCAAAATTGATTCTGAGAAGGAATTCTGTACTTGTTAGGAATTTCCGCTTCATGTTTGTAAATTTCACACACTCAAACTGTCAACACAGAAGTGGGACTTTGTTTTTCGTGTCATGAGCTTAGGCTTCAAACTGCAAAATAATGTTCTTGTATTGGGATAGTGTAGACACATAGAAGATTGCATGGTTCAGTTTAGAACATGTTTTCACATCATGATTCTAATGCTAGTGCATTATTATGGGTACACATGAAGAGGCATTACCTTGTGATGTGACTGTTACAAATGAAATGCAGCAGAACAGCAGAAATTTAAATGCACTGGGTTACAATCTTACTGGCACTCACCACTGAGGAAGGGTGGATGAACACAGTGGAGGCGTGGCCATCCATGGTTCGGAAGCTGCGGCCAGTAGCAGATCTGAGAGAAAAAAAAGAATGCTAAAGTTCTAACAGACTTATTTTGAAGTATCAATGATTTCTATTTCAATGTTTTCTTTCTAATTAACTATCAATGCTGGATATTTCATCCATTACCCTGAAACCAAGATTTTATCATATGATAGAGCCTCCTTGCTGAAAACTATGCCTCTTGAAAGTTTTGCAATCGAAAGCTATATTCTGAACATCTAAGGTTTAGGGCATGGCCTACCTCCTGGCTATGTGGTTGAAGAAGCCGTCACACAGGGCTCTTCTCAGCAGCTCACTGGGAGAACCTTCCAGCTTCTGTCTGGGGAAGTCTGCTGTCTGGACATATATATGAACAAGTACATACATGGAGGGGAATAAAGATACCGGTAAGGATATCAACTCCAGTACACTTTGGCATTATTGACTTGGAATGGTAATAACAAAAGATGACTCTTACTACCGGTATATTCATTTGCACATTGTATTAGACCCTGTTTACAGTATATCCATTTTGGAACAGCACTAATACCCTAATACCGGTGGTGTTTTTCTTTCATTGAAAAAAAATTTCTTTTGTTTGGGTGAAAAAACAAGTGTTGCACATTCAAGTGGGGATTAACAAGGCTGAATGATGGAAAAAAATTGGCACAAAAAATCGAAATATTCGCACAGCCCACAATCCTTTGTGGGCTATTTTTTACAGTCTTAACTTTCTATGACAGTACATTTCACAGGGAGGACCAGGCTTAGCCTAACCTGAGTTTGCTTGTCTAGGATCCCCTGTAGCTGCTGATGTATGCTCAGGGCCATCTTCACCCCTCTCCAGTGGATGTAGTTTTCTCTGCACCATCGAGCCGGAGAGTCACTGCATAAGGGCATGGATGAAAACATAGACTATCAGAGATTTTTTTTCCAATATTCAACATACAAGAATATCCAGCATAAATTGGACGTGACAATAAAAAGTCAATCGTACAAAGTGCAGTTGCTAAGGAGACATTGTGTCTTGGTAGCAGTGGCAAGCAAGTTTACATGCTGTAGTTCAAAAGAGACTCCTAGTGACTGATATCATTACTGCAACAGGATACACATAATGTCCGGCTACCATCTTTGTAGTTTACCCTTGCTCCCTCTCCCAAGTGTAACACAAACAGGATGGTACCCAGGACTTTTCAACTAGAACAAACCTTAAGTTTATGTTCTTTGTCTTCCTACCTTTCTTTACATTTCTGGAAGACTGTGAGCAGGGTGGTGAAGTCATTAGTCCCCCCGGCCAGGTGAGCTAACCGCTGGTGACTCTGTTGAGCCTCGACCTGCTTCTTCCCCTCACCTGTAATAGATGCAACAACTTTAAATGAGCACTTTGTAACAATTTTGCCCCTAATCTTTGTGTGATTATAATTCACTTCAACTTTTCAACATATTTGTGTAATTTTCTCACATTTCTGATCTTCATGGATGGTGTCAAAAAACAAATAAACATACAATGTAATATTAATTCTTGTTCAGTTATCCTGTTGAAAAATCAACACAGTACAATTGCAAGAATAAATAGACTATAAGAGGCTTTACCAGGTCTGATGAAGACATTTTCTACAGACAGCATGGCAGCGATGGGCAGCAGCAGGTCCTGGCAGCCCAGGGAGCTGGAGGAGATGACGGTCCTGGCCAGGCCTGGGGGCAGGGGGTACTGTACCAGCAGTCTCCCCAGGGGGGTCACACGGCCAGACCTGCTCACAGGGAACATGTGAAGTTAGCAGGGGGAGGGGAAATCCAGATAGCCACATACAACAAGGTCTGACCTGGAACTAGAAATTTCCTTACCCAAGAAATCAAATAGCTTACAAAAATTTCATCATCAAGGTAGATTCTGGTGTGTTATGTCAAAGCAAAGGGCGGTTATACCGGCTATACAGATACAGATACTGATCAGATCGTGTGTTGATTGTAGTGATATACAAAAGTAAAGGTAAGCAGAAATTTGAACAATGCACCTGTCAATGGCATCAAAGTAGAAGAGTTGTTTAAGGGCCTCTAACAACATGCGCTCCTCGGGCGGGTCCAGGTAGTGAAACCTGCAGTAGACAGATGGAGTACTACATTAGATAATGTGCTATTCCTCCCTTACCTCACCTCATGAAGCTAGTCTTACATTCCCACAGCATTTTAGAGTCAAGGACAGTCAATACACCAGTACAATCATGCTTCCCCCACACACCATGGTTACAAGCAACCTACAAGCATATTACAGTCAGTAATCACACAGTATATAATTATTAACATAAGTACTTCCCTGCCCACCTGAGGACATTGTGAATACCCATGGACTTGAGACTGAGCACCACACTGGTCAGGCTGGTCCGCTGGATCTCTGGCAACATGTCCTCAGGCATGCACTGATCATAAAATTCTCTGTGTGAGAGAACAATAACACAGGCTGTATATACTTGAGTCATCATCCTCAGACTCCTGAGCCCTGACTACCAAAGTAGCAAACCATGGCCTAAAAGAGAACCCTAGTGGCCCATACCAGTACTGCAACATCTAATCTGTTAAAACTGATCATGAAGAACTGAAATGTTATGTCTGTGATGTTTGAGCTGTAGCTACAATATGGAGGAAAACTAGAAAATCAAACAGACAGTTGTTTCCTTGTTGCACAGTCTTTAACATTTACCAGGCCCTTACCTACTGTACACCTGTCAGGTGTCTAACCTTACCTGTTGTATAGTCTGTAACACCTGCCAGGTGCTGTCCTACCTGCTCTTCCTGCTCTCTGGATAGCTTCTGATCTTACAGTTGTACAATCACACAACATTGTACAGACAGTTAGGATGTACATGTACCATAAACAGTATTTTCTAACTTTGCAAAATCAATATTCTCAGGTTATGCCCGTAATACTTTCAGATTATGTGCAATAAGCAATGATGTACTAAGAAACCAAAATCTTGGAGAATACTACTGTAGAAAAGTGACAATATAAGAGATGCGTGTAGGACTAACCTGGATAGTGGGTACCCACCTGAAGAGTGTCCACGCCCTGTCCTGGGGTTGTATGACAGCTGCTTTACAAAACCACTGTCCACTACATATCTGAAGGAGAGGGGAAAGAAAGAAATGACAAGCGGATATGAAGAAGAAAGACTTGTCTTTTCCTGCTGTCTGTCCTGTTCTCTGACATATAATCTTTCCAACAGAGGGAACATATGTACAGTACATGGAACATGCTCTGTACACAAACAAACATCATGTCACATTATCAAAGAAAAGCTGCATACATGTAATGCTATACATGTACCTCCAATACTACCGGTACATACACAGGGGGCATAATTTGAGGCAACACAACTGACAGCCCATAACGTTATATAAGGAAAGGATGAAAGTGGAACTTCTAGCAAACATGGTAAGACTTACCTAATGCCATCAATAGTAAGCGATGTTCCTGCTATGTTCGTAGCAACAATACATTTCCTAACTCCCAAGTCGGCAGGGGAAAAGATCCTCTGTTGTTGTTCTGAAAACATGATAACAATTTTGAACCTGTAGGGGATTCATTACAAGTCATGCACATGTTTCAATGTTCTAGTATATGTTGCACCATTAAACATATTCCAAGCAATTAGCACAACCAGTGTCCAAAATAGATCTGTTTCTGAATACAAGTCCTTACCAGTAGGCATGGACTCCGTACACAGGCAGGATGAGCAGTGAGGTCACATCGAGGGTCACGCACGTCTTCCTGTAGTCTAGTTCCTCAGACTTCTTGTAACAAGATATCACAGGTCTTCTCGATCTCTGCCTGACCTGTCAGGAACACAAGGATGTCTCCCTGTGGCTGGTCAGTGTGGATGTCCATCACTACTCGCACTGCCTGAAGGTTTTATAAAAAGTGATGTTACCATATTTGTAACACCAACCATGACATCTTAAACATCAAATTACTCCAAAGCGACTTTAAAAAATTTGCTACAAATCTCTGTATCTCTGCACTGTTGGATTGACCTGATTCGATTACTTTTTTGCTTTTCTTCATCAGGAAATCTCCTGTTGGCTACTAATATTCTATTGCCGTGATCATGATCCATCAGACAAAGCTATTCAGTTACAGTTATTGAATGTATTTTAGGTATTGTATATTCATTCAAGAGAATTCACCTGACTACAGTAACTAGGATTCTTAACATCTTCAGGCTTGATCATGTTACAGTAGACATCCTTCACAGGAAACAGCTTCCCAGGAATCTCAAACACAGGACAGTTGTTGAAGAACTGGGAGAATTTGCTGCTGTCCAGGGTTGCTGACATCACCACCACCTTCAGCTGGTGTCTCCGACTGGAGTCCTCCTCCTCCCTCAGAAACTTTTCCTTCATCAAGCCAAACAAAATGTCCTGTGGAGATGGCAAGAACATGTTAAAACATTTCCACTACCTCATAGTCACTTGCTCACTATTAGGTTTATCGTTTCCCATCTTATGAGGGTCAGATATGCTTGTACTTTAGACACTGTAGTTTGAAGACCAATCTCCTGTCACTTCTTCCCTTACATCATGAAGGTCTAAGGTAAGTGTATGAGCATACTAGTATATGGTAGGTAAAGGACTTATTGTCTTACTTGGGATTTGATACTTACTGTGTCCAGGCTCCTTTCGTGAGCTTCATCCAGAATGATGACACTGTATCTGCTCAACTCTCTGTCATCTAGAAACTCCCGCAGCAGGCAGCCATCAGTCATGTACTTGATCTGTGTCTCCTACAGGTTCAAGAGACAATGATAGGAACATTGCATTCTAGTGAACTTTCTACAATAAAGACAGGCAATGTCATCTTCCTAGGGCAAAGGCTTGGTCTAAAGGGTGAAATAAATCATTCCTAGTACTCATTGTAGCATTTGATGATAAGTTACAACATTGCAGTATTCTGCTGTAATCTTTACCTGTGATGTGCAGTCATCAAACCTCACTTGATACCCCACTTTCCTTCCCAGGGTGCATTTCATCTCCTGAGCTACCCTGGCTGCCACAGACAGGGCTGCCATTCTGCGGGGCTGAGTCACACCGATCAAACCATTCTTACTAAAGCCTGAAAAACATTCAGTAAAACATCGGCTGCTCTGACAGACATGAAAAAGACAATTATGACGAATTTGACAAGGCCCGGAAATGTACCTGATACTGCAAGTACAAACAAAAAGGGATTACAAAATTACAAATATCCCTAACAAAACAGAAGGGTGTAAAAACACAAGTAAATCATGTGGCTGAACCTCTACAAGAAACATCTTCAGAATCCTATATATTGCAAAAGCTCTAGAAGATGCAAAATTGCTATAACTTACTTCAAAAAGAAATTCAAAAGTGCATAATACCATCAATGCTACAAATGGATGCGAGTCTTCCAGTGTTCATAACATTGTGAAGGTAAAGTTTGTCAGTCAGTGTACTATGAACGCCCCCCTCCCCATATAGCCTGGCCATGGCCTGGTGTTTGGTAGCGTTTTCAAACAACCTTACCTGCTTTGTGCAGAAATTGAGGAAGCTGTGTGGTCTTCCCACTTCCAGTATACCCAACAACAACAAGTGCCTGAGACCGACGTACATTGGCGACAATGTCGTCCTGAAAGTCGTGGATTGGTAGTCTCCATGCTCCCGACTTTCTCTCCGCCATCTTTGTTTTGATCCTGGGTGAAGGTTACCGAAGTCTTGCGCAAGAACCTGTCTAGATCTCTTCCAAAATACAGCATGCGACCAAACTATACCTACAACTATATCTGTACAACCATACATACACACAGAAACGTCTCAGTGAGAATATACATTGCCTGTGAGCAGGATAAAAGTCCAGGGTTGGCTTGAGATAATCGCACTTCGATATGCAAGTGTGCCGAAGGAACTGTTCGAGGGCCTGTTTTTGTAACGTCATTGTTTTGTCACAAACTCATTATCTGACATTGACACGTCTATATATAATGTAAAATATCTCTGTGTGTCTGTGTATAACATAATATATTGGGAAATTCCTCGAAAAATAATATAATTCAACATTTACTACCTACTATCTTATGTCAGTTTAGAGTTTTCTCAGTGTCATACAAATTTTCTTTTATCAAACAATATGTCAAAGTTACAATCAAGCTGGGGTAGTTGCCAATGATACGGGCTATAATACACGCAACATCAAGTGACTTTGGTAACAACGGTTGGGCTGAAATAAAGCTTTAAACTTGACGTGGAAGCACAACTTCTGCCCCGGCAGCCATTTTTACTCCACCCAGAGAAGCATCGAGCGTGTGCTCTCTACGACGTCCGCAATTGAACTATATACACAACGCATCAACACTGACCCTCATTCATACATTCTTGCTCTACATCTGTGTGTGAGACAGTGTCGTTTCCGAAATCATGTCAGCGTCTCCGAAGAAAGCCACGAAGAAGGCTCCTGCCGCCCATCCTGCCTCAAGTGTGATGGTTACCACAGCCATCACTACCTTGAAAGAGCGCAATGGTTCATCCCTGGCCGCCATCAAGAAGTTTTGTGCAGCTAACTACAAGTTTGACGTGGAGAAGAAGGCCTTTGTCCTCAGGCGTGCCGTGAAGACACTGGTCGAGAAGGGAACCCTCATCCAGACCAAGGGTAAGGGCGCCTCCGGGTCCTTCAAGCTCAACGCTGCTGCCAAGAAGGCTGCAGTGAAGAAACCCAAGGCCAAGAAGCCAGCGGCCAAGAAGCCCAAGGTAAAGAAGGTGAAGAAGTCCCCGAAGAAGGCCGCGAAGAAACCAGCAAAGAAGACGAAGTCACCGAAGAAGGCAAAGAAGCCAGCAGCCAAGAAGGCAAAGAAACCAGCTGCCAAGAAGGCGAAGAAGCCAGCGGCCAAGAAGGCCAAACCCGCCAAGAAAGCAGCAAAGCCCAAGAAGAAGTAAATCATCTCCCCATATCGAATCACCGGCCCTTTTCAGGGCCACCCATCTCCTCCAAAAAGAGCTATACTGCATCGCATTTTATTGTTGCAAGTGTAGTGATTAAATATTATTAAATATTCTTTTAATTCCCATGATAATGATCATTTTGGCATACTCATTTTCAGCGAAGTGAGGAAAGTCGTGTATGGTTGGTGACATGGCAGGGGTCTAATAACTCTGGACCTCTTGGCATTTTCTAATAATAAAATAAAGAAGCAATAAGGGTAACTGTCCTCAAATGCTACTACCATTAGCTTTGACAAGTATATGACGTCTTGCCCGCGACCGGACTTCATCAGTAGTGGAATACCAAACGTATACAACCAAGGAGGTTGTATAATTTCACTCAAACTCAATAGTATTGAAATCTTTGCTGTTTGACTAATGCTTTGCAACATAATTCTAATCTCCAAGCAAAAATTACGATTGATAACGCGAACCAAGGACATTATCTGTGTAATGTTCTTGCGCTAACAAACAACCATCCGTACGAGATTTCCCATCCCAACATCTGCTTGAAGATTATTAGAAACGCCCTTTGTCCTCGAGCCTCTCAAAGCACATCCCATAATTGGCCATTGGGAGAGGGTAGCCTCTGATTGGTTACAGGATATCGCTTCAACTTCTCCGAGGTCCGCATGAGCAGTAAATATACTGAGGCAACACTGCTCCCGTCAATTCAGCACTGAATCTTCATCATGTCTGGACGTGGCAAAGGAGGCAAGGGTCTTGGAAAGGGAGGCGCGAAGCGTCACCGTAAGGTGTTGCGTGATAACATCCAGGGCATCACCAAGCCCGCTATCCGTCGTCTGGCCCGCCGTGGTGGTGTCAAGCGTATCTCCGGTCTCATATACGAGGAGACCCGTGGTGTCCTCAAGGTATTCCTGGAGAACGTCATCCGTGATGCCGTCACCTACACCGAGCACGCCAAGCGCAAGACCGTCACCGCCATGGACGTTGTCTACGCTCTGAAGCGCCAGGGCCGCACTCTCTACGGCTTCGGCGGCTAGACTGACCCAACCTGGATAAACGACCCCCGGCCCTTTTCAGGGCCACCCACATCCTACTAAAGAACTGTGTTGTACACATCGTAATGGTATTGTGCACTTTCTGAGCAAAGAATCTAGGTAAAATGTTCGTACGTAGTTTCCACGTGATTGTCCTCCCGTAGCCAAGTTGTAACCAACACTATGTAATTACCTCGTAACAAACCGACAATGCAATGGGCTGCTAGTATCAAATTGGTCAGCCTGCGTTAGTGTCTGGTCAAATTTAGTCGAGCGTTGTGGCCGTTGATAACGAATTGCTCTGAAACGAGCAAGGTCCCATTAATACGAGCAAGCTTAGGGGCAAAATCAAGTATTCAACTTCCTTGATATGATCAATATAAATAATGGTATCAAGTTCAACCAACTTACATTTAATTGCTGTAATATGTAGTATTTGTAATAGCGGTAATACATTAGTTTTGTATTTGTTTCTCAATTTTAGCTTGATCGGCTTGATGCATGTCGCTCTATACCCAAAACCTCTCAATTGCAAGTGTGAATGAGTGTGTGGCACAATACAGCTCTCTTTGATATGTGGGTGGCCCTGAAAAGGGCCGGGGTTTCTGAGGATCCGTTGACAAATCTAGGCAGATTTGCTGGCGGTCTTCTTGGGCAGGAGCACGGCGTGGATGTTAGGCAGGACACCTCCCTGGGCGATGGTCACGCCGGACAGGAGCTTGTTCAACTCCTCGTCGTTACGGACGGCCAGCTGAAGGTGACGGGGGATGATCCTGGTCTTCTTGTTGTCACGGGCAGCGTTGCCGGCCAACTCGAGGATCTCAGCGGTCAGGTACTCGAGCACGGCGGCCAGGTAGACCGGGGCGCCGGCACCGACACGCTCGGCATAGTTGCCCTTGCGCAGGAAACGGTGCACACGGCCGACAGGGAACTGAAGCCCTGCACGGGATGATCGGCTCTTAGCCTTTGCACGGGCCTTGCCTCCTTTACCACGTCCAGACATGATTCTTGGCTCTCTTTGCAGTTGAACAAGACGTATGATAGCTTGAAACACCCAAACACTTATATACCAAGCGAGTGGATTTTCTCCCATCCAATAGAAAGGCAATTTCGGATATTCATCAACCAATAGGTGGACTCCATACCCTACGGGCATTGCATGTTGATAGGAATACTACTTGCTTCCTACCACGTCCGCAACAAAACACAGGATCCAAAAATTTACATAAATCGACTTATATATTTATACAGAACGCTGTCGCCCCTTACCATTTCCTGAAACGAGAGAACAATGCCGCCAAAAAGTGGAAAAGCTGGTAAGAAGGCTGGTAAGGCCAGGCCCGCCGGAGCCAAAGGCAAGAGGAGGAGGAGAAGGAGGGAAACATTCGGTGTCTACATCTACAAGGTGCTCAAGCAGGTGCACCCCGACACCGGTGTCTCCAGCAAGGCCATGGGCATCATGAACTCCTTCGTCAACGACATCTTCGAGCGTATCGCTGGCGAGGCTTCCCGCCTGGCTCACTACAACAAGCGCTCCACCATCAGCAGCCGGGAGATCCAGACCGCCGTGCGTCTGCTGCTGCCTGGCGAGCTGGCCAAGCACGCCGTCAGCGAGGGCACCAAGGCCGTCACCAAGTACACCAGCTCCAAGTAAATTGCCTGACCGCCCGACCAGTATACCCCGGCCCTTTTTAGGGCCATCCACATCTTCTTAAAGAAGTGTATCAGTCACTATTAATTTAATTAAATGTAATAAATCAAGTAATGATCGTAGGCTAAAGAATGATGTTCGAGACCGTCGGCTCAGTGTGGCTCCAACATGGTCAGACCGTTTATTTCCAGCCATATAGGATGTAGTAGAGCGAACCAACAACGATTCGTCAAACATTAGTCAAATCCGGTCTGTACTAATCCATGTTGACAGATGCGTACTCCGTCGAGGTCCGCAACAGAGTAAGCCGTAAGCGTCGATGAAGGTTAGACATCCAGGTAATACGATATGCCAAAAAACAGTTACTCAAGCAACTGGATATGATTTTGAAAACGTCAGACGTTTCAGCTAGTATCCACTAGCTTTCGTCAGTGACTGAGAGACCAGAGGGGAAGCCGTAAGCGAGTATTCGAATAGTTGAGGAAGGCGAAGATTGCCTGTTGAATTGGTACCGATATGAACATTTGGGGCAGGGGTTGTGTCATATCCTGAATGACGGTATATGACGGTCTTAGATGCGTTTTTTTTTTCAAATCAGAAAATTGCAGTAGCTTTAATATGTGGTAACCCAAGGACATTATTAAGAAAACGACTGCTTTGCATTACCACATTGAAATCAGCATTTCATTCTTTGGGCATTTAAAACTGCAGAAACAAGCGCCAAGATGAGTCCTTTATTTTCTGGGCGGTACCCTAAAAATCAGCCCAGGGCCCTTCTAGTAACCATTTTCCATTAGAATTTTTGCTCCACGAGGGTCAATATATACACTGGGATAGTGTTGTTTCAACTGAGTATGTGGAAAAGTGACTAGAATATTGGCTTTGAAAAATAGGGTTTCCAAGCCCTAAAAACTGCACTGGATGCCTTCAAACACAGGGTTCAAACAAACGAATTTTACGGAATACATACGATCCATACTAAGAAACATACGAATTTTATGGAATACATACGATCCTTACTAATTTGGTGGCTTGCACCACGATCACACGACATCGGCAGCAAATTCAAGATGGCGGACTATTATAGCGCTGTTCTCCCTACAATGTCTTGGTTTCAAAGAATTTTAAGGGCTTATCATGCCCTGCTAACCCCCAAACTGCACTTATGCGGGCTTCTTTCACGACATAGTAGCCTGTATAAACCAAATAGCAGGGCGATGCTGGGAAACGGTGGAACCAGTGATCACAGCAGCAAGTCACCAAATGACCCCAAATTTAGTAGTAAGGATCATATGTTTCCGCGTAATGGATCGTATGTATTCCGTAAACTTCGTATGTTTCTAGTAACGGATTATGTGTATTCCGTAAACTTCATATTTTCCAAGTAAGATCGTATGAATTCCATAAAATTCTGATAAATTCTTTAGCACCCCTGAAACATAGAAATTATTTAAGGTATCAGTTGTTCAAATGCATGATATGTAGTCTGTAGGATTGTTTTCTTCAGGAGAACAAACACACCAACACACAGATTCAGTCTCATGACTCTTTATTGGTTTAGGCCATACAGCATACTGTACTGTAGCCTGTTAGCCATGGTTGTCTAGCTAGTATGACTTTGGTGCAGGTGGTGTTGCCCTGGTGTGAGCCTTGGCCAGGTAGTCTGTGTACTCCTGGTATGGAGGTTTGGTCAGGACAGTATCCTTCCACAAGTCAGGGGTCAGGTAGGTGTAGGTGTTGGCAATGGCAGCAAAGGTTGCCTTAGCTAGAAAAGAAAAAACATTAGACTATTATTTTCACCTTTATACAATGGTTGGTAATAAATCTAGGTGGTAATTTTTTTCCCTCAGACATTCGAATACAAGTTACAGTCTAACCAATAAGTGCATATGACAATGATATTTGAATGGGGATATTAGAATGTCTTCTCGACACTTACCAAAGTTGCCCAGTGTGCGGGTAGACCCTGTCGCAGAGGTGTAGCAATCATCAATACCCGCCATTTGCAGCAGCTTCTTTGGAACGGGAGCGCTCACGATGCCAGTACCACGGGGCGCGGGAATCAGACGCACCAGAACACTGCCACACTTCCCTGTCACCTGAGAACACAAGGGCACAGGAAAAAATAATTCTGTGAACCATGGCAAGCAAGGGTACTACTCTTCACTATGTTGTCATCTTCCTTTAGGAAAGAATACTTCATTAGCGTTCAAGGCTTTCAAGCATTTTCCCTCAAAAAATTGTCCACTCTAAATACTGTACTATTAATTGCACTTTTAAAAGCAACAAGTAAAATCTGAGATTTTATACCTCCGGGCTTTTTATTGTATATTTTTCCATGTTGTTTGTTCTGTATAGTTGATGGTGTTGAATTTTATGTGTTAGATTTAGCGTTCCTGGTTGTGTTAATACAGGACTGGTCAACATTTTCATCTGCAGCCCATACCATGTACCCACGGTAAAAATGCATGTCGAGAACGTCTGAGACAGTATACCACGGTATTTGTAAGTTAAGAAGTCGTAATATACGCCGAAAACATCCAAGATTGCGCAAGAGGGCGTTGACCCCTGACCCATTGGCCCACCCGGAAGTTGCGCTGGCAGCCAGCCCAGCGCCACGCGCGACCATTTTCAGATTTTTACGCCCCAAAACACATATACAATAAAAACAAAAAAACCTGCACCATCTACAGCCCATTAGCAGAACACACACCGAGTCCAGTCTACCCCAACGCGAGATACAACTGCGATAATATTTCAAAATACATATCGGAAGCAGACACCCCTCTGTTTGACCCCTTTTAAATGCTAAGACCCAAAACTGCAACCTCCCCATTCCTTAACAACATGGTAAATTCCATTTTCAGCATGGCGGGGGTGTTCGGAGCACTTAAAAACCTTATATTTCGACGCCCATAAACACATATACAATTAAACAAAAACGTTCTGCATCATCATAGCAATACGTATACCGAACAACAGACCAATCCGTCCAGCCGATCGCGAGAAACAGCTGCTGACAGAAATGTTTCGAACCATAGTAAAACCTCCTCGCGGAAGGATATCTCCTTCCCCGGAGGTAACAAATTGTACACTTTACGTATTATTAGCTATTATTCTACTGACCTTGCAAGGCACAGTATGGGGCTTGCCGATCTTGTTACCCCAGTAGCCTCGCCTGACAGGTACGATGGACAGCTTGGCCAGGATGATGGCACCACGGATGGCTGTCGCCACTTCCTTGGAGCACTTCACACCCAGCCCAATGTGGCCATTGGAGTCACCAATCGCCACAAAAGCCTGTTTAAAACATGTAGAAAAAAGTTGTTACAAACAAGTTCTATGTGTCTTCAACATTCCACTACAATAGCATGTCAACTGGAAAAAGAATGACCCACACTATCTTACGTGTAACTGTTAGTATTACTGGGTAATGGGTATTATGGGTTTACCATCAGTACTCTGGCATGTGTCAACAACCAACACAATATATGCTGTTCCGATAGTGGTGCAAGAGTTCATCATTGGTATCTCCCAATTGTCAATATCTTCAATAACTATTTACTAAATACAGTTTTAAACATATTGTAAAAAGTAAATGGCTAAGAAAGGGTAGTACATGTAATAGTATACCTTGAACCTGGTGCGCTGACCAGCACGGGTCTGCTTCTGAACAGGCATGATCTTCAACACTTCATCCTTCAGTGCTGAGCCCAGGAAAAAGTCAATGATCTCAAACTCCTAGAATAGCAAAAGACAAAATATTCAGACAAAATTAGCAGACAAGACATTCAGTGTATCATTATATGTATATATCAGTTTGGATGTATTGTACTGTACTACAAAGTGTCTCTGACATCAGTGTCTGGATAGCATGGTGATCGGCTCCCAGTGCATAATGTCAGAGGTTTGTCTATGAGGCTGATAGCACACACAACGCCGGATGGAACAGAAGTGGTGACTCTAACCTCAAAAATATAATATATATTTCCTCTTGTCTTTTGACCAGCCATAGTGTACCATTGGAACAGCAGCAATAAAAAATTAAAAAAAAAAACAGTAAGAAATGATACCTTGATGGGAAGTGAGAAAAGGTAGATATCCTCCAGGGACTTGATCTTCAGGTCTTTCACAAGACGACCAAGCTTGGTCATTGGCATCCACTGAAAAAAAAAATGACAATATTTACTGATCATGATGATTTATCAAGATTCAAGAGTAACTGTTACATCAACAGGGTGTCTTTTATGACCATATGTTTAATCTAGTATCTACTCTTTTTCATCATGGTTAAGTAGAAAGTTAACGTTTACGTTCTATGATACGAGTTTACATGTCTCTGACATCAGTGTCTAGAACTGCATGGAGCAGTCCCAGTGCATAAATTATGTCAGAAGTTTGTCTATGAGGATGATAGCACACACGACGCCGGACGGAACAGAAGTGGTGACTCTAACCTCAAACCAAATTGCGACTAAAATATCCTAATTTATTACTAAATTTCAACAACATAATGTTCATGAATAAGTACTAAGTTGTACAGAAAAAAAGATGGGGAGGGGGGCAGATATTTGCTCTGACTTGCCACTACGAACCTCCTTCTCCTCCTTGCCTCCGCGGCCCCGTCCACGGCCCCTGCCGCGACCACGGCCCCGTCCACGGCCACGGCCGCGATCCCCGAACCCGCCACGAAAACCTCCCCTACCGGCTGGAGGTGCGTCCGCCATTGGTAGGTGTTACAGATCTGGGAGGGGAAGAGGAAAGCATGGTTACTGATGGAGCAAGGAAACGTCTGTGGCCATTCTAAAATCATGAAATTTACAATTAAGAAAGGTACCACGCTTAAAAATTTCCATACGCCATGGTTTTACAATATCTATACAATGTTTCGATGCTGTTTTAAGAGGAAGATGGCTAGCAACAACGGATTCTGAGGCGGATTCTAGTCAAGTCTTTGGAACAAAAATTGCGCACGTCCGCCATGCTACTCACCCTGCGAAAAAGAAGGCAGAGAGCACGTACTGCGCAGAATCGATAGGTCAGGGGTCATCCCAGCAATATTGAGCAAAGAGAAGGATATGAGAACCGGATAAGTTTGTTTTCATGCACAATTTGATCTTTTGTGGCATTTCAGGCATATCATTTGTTCCCAGATCGGTAAGTAAATGTAAAGGACTTATAACACTTCCTGACAATATCTCGCCACTTCTCTTTCACAGATAACGGGCCGGTTATTGAATAGCATGGTGCAGGTGATGTCAGGTGCACACAACTGTATTATCCTCAGAATATAGAAGTTAAAACGTTACAGATGGTCAGAGATATCAGTTCAAAGAAACCTCAGAAGATATTTTCATTCTGCTAATTGAACTTAGTTAAACAAATTCTACATAAAGTAAATTTTTTGCATAAAAAACTTATTAATTTTTGCATAAAAAGTATCATTCCCCAACAGAACTGAAAATCATCATGGATTTGAGCAGACCAAGGGCAAAGTCACAAAGGTGAGATGCACATCCAAAATTTATTAACTTAGGGAAATAGATATATGATATGATATCGATGAGTCCAGCCATCCTAGTGGCATCTATCATCTGAAGGGCTATTAACAGTAATAGAACTCCATATCTATCTACCACTTCAGGTAAGTTTACAAGGAATCACTTGATTGATGTGGCTTTTGCTTTTGGTTGAATTTACAAAATGTGTTTTATAAAACCCGGTGTAACTGCATTTAAGTCTAAATATTTCCCTTGTTCCTTACAGAACTATCTATCTAGACTATAATGCTACCACACCACTGGAGCCTGAGGTTCTGACAGCCATCCAGACTGCCCTGCAAACAGCATGGGGAAACCCCAGCAGCTCATATGAAGCAGGTACTACTATTATCATGTTTGTGCTTCAGAAATGCTTGAAGTGGCACAATTCTATTTATGACAATTTAAGCAGGTCAGATTCAGTTGCTTTTATATGGAAATACATGCACAACAGTACAACATGTACTTGGCATGCATGTGTATTGTCTATTTTGTCATGGCTTTATGATATTGAACTCATCGATATCATTTTTTGTCTAGCAATTATGTCAGGAGATTTATGTTGCTATTTCTAGTCAAACAAATTATGAGATGTTTTGAACATTTCAAGTGTCTGTTAGTACCTTATTTTAGTTATTATCCTTCCTTTTATTCTCATCACAATTAATAGGGAAGAAGGCCAAGGCTGCCATTGACACTGCCAGAACCAACATCGCCAAGATGGTCGGTGGGAAAAAGGAAGACGTCATTTTCACCTCAGGTGGTACTGAGGTAAGCTATCACTATACCATTATTTCCATATTGCAAACAATAACAACAATAAAACAATCAACAAACCTGCAACAAACATTCGCTTACCTCAATTGTCCTCAAATACATGTAGGCTTCAGCCAATACACATGTTTGATGTTAGCAGAAGCATTGATGTCATGCATTATCAGGTGTACAACTCTTAACATTTTCCTGCAGGTACTGAGTTGCACTTTTGAAGAGATCTTTCTCTCTTTCTGTTGTCTAGTAATTTGTGTGATCATAATAGAAGTAAACATTAAAGAGCTATGTTATTATAAATTGAGTATAAAGCTATTCTATTGTCACAACAACAACGGCTGATTTTTCCTGTAATACTTCAGGCCAACAACATGGTGATCCTCACTGCCATGAGGCACTTCTGGAACAGTTTTCCTGAGGCCCAGGGAGGAGGAGACACAGAGAATGGTCCAACACAACACAGGAGTGTCAAACCTCACATCATCACAACTAACATAGAACACGACTCTGTCAGGCTACCACTGGAGGCTTTTCAAAAGGAGGGAAGGATAGGTAAGGTCTGTTTAGAACAGTCATATCATCAGGCAGTTATCCAAATATACTATACATACTTCTTCCATTGATACTGCACTGTACTGAAGTTTGTGTCAGTAAAACTGGAAATTGTTATTTCCTGGCAGATGTGACCTTTGTGCCGGCCTCCAAGCTGACCGGCCGAGTGGAGGTCCAGGACATTCTGGCCGCAGTTCGTCCCTCCACCTGCCTGGTCACAATCATGATGGCCAACAATGAGACTGGCATCATCATGGTAGGGATAATCTATTATTGTTAAGATCAATTGGCATGACTGGTAGTATTGGTTATATACTAGTGCATGTAGTTGACTTGAGTACAGTAGAAAACTCACTCATATGTTGTGTTTCTGAATTAATAGTACCCACAGACAAAGCAATGCTGAATATGATTTTTGTGTGGTACATCAGCCCATAGCAGACATAATGAGAGCTGTGAGGTCTGTGAACAGTGAGAACAGAAGTGCCCCTCAGCCCAGGATCCTGCTGCACACAGATGCTGCCCAGACCATTGGGAAAGTTCCTGTGGATGTAGAGGAGTTAGGGGTGGATTATCTGACTGTGGTGGGCCACAAGGTGGGTTACTGTTTGGTTTTTTTTCTTGGTAGTGAATTAAACGAGATTGTTACAGGATTTTAAAACATTGTAATTTTGTATTATGATGTATTTATGTATGTTTTTTTATGAGGGAAGTGACAAGTTGTTCACTCAAAGGATTACTTCTTTTGTTCAGTTCTATGGTCCCAGGATTGGTGCCCTGTATATCCGTGGTCTGAGACAAGACACTCCGCTGTATCCCATGTTGTATGGAGGGGGACAGGAGGACAATTACAGACCAGGGTAGGGATTCTAACATTATTGAATCTACATGTATGTGACCCTGTCTCTGCTGTCATAGTGATTTTGATTTTGTTTAGAGGCTACACGATGTTAAACATTGCAAGTAACATACCAAGCTTCTGAGTCCTGACACATCTACATGTAGTTAAAAAAAATAAACAAACATAAGATATTATATTTCATAAGACTGTCTTTTTCACCAGCAGGATAAAGGTAAAGAATTGTCCAGATTGAAGAGTAAGTTACCACTGACCACCTGTCCAAGAGGTTTGTATTATGTTTCAAATTAACCCTTACCTCTTGTCTGAACACTTCCAGCACTGAGAACACTGGTATGATAGCAGGGCTTGGGATGGTAGGTACAGTCCATTGATGGAAATAATAATATTTACCTTAGTTTGGATAGCGATAGTTTGAAATGTCCACCACCTCATGTGTCATTTTTGCTTCTTCATTTATAATTCAAAGTTGAGAATATAGTCTTGTCACCAGATATTATGTTCTCTGAGTTTATGTTTTGCCTGTTGTCCCAAAGGCTGCTTCCCTTGTAAATCAAAACTTGGAGAAGTATGAGTCTCACATGAGGGAGGTGAGAGACTACCTGGAACAGCAACTTAAGGTGAGAATATGTAGTTGTGATCAAATACAACAAATATTTGTTCTTAAGCAATATTGTTTCCCAACCTTTCCAGAAGTTTGTAAACTTCATCACAATACCTGAGTTGAATTCCCCTTGTGTGTGATTTTGTAGTGGCATCTTGACAAAGAACCTTGTGGTGTGTATATTGTGTTGACAGGACAGGTTTGGCAGCTCTGTGCACTTCAACGGGAGGCTGACAGGAAGTGAGCGGATCCCCAACACCTGTAATGTGTCCATCCTGGGGCGGGGACTACAAGGTAAACTGTCTTATCATACATCATCATCATCGTGCCTCCGGATTTAATCTGGTGACGTACACTTGATAAATTGATAAAGGTACTCCAACACACCCTGTCCCTCATGGCAGACACTAGAGTAGTCCCTGCAAGACCAGCGTCTCTCTCTCTCTAACATTGACAAAAGTGTAGTATATCATACATCAGCACCAACAACAATTTTTGACCATGCATGTTTTTATCTGCCAGGTCAGAGAGTGTTATCCAGGTGTCCACATCTGCAGGCCAGTGTGGGGTCTGCCTGTCACTCACACAACATCAACAGGTGGGAAAAGTAGAGAAGGAAAAGTACTTGTGCAGCCATGGGATTTTTTAATCACTTGATTCTTACAGTTTACCTTTAGCACCCTGAAGTAGTGGTTCAAATTCTCTGCTGGTTATGAATATGTGGATAGCAGCAGGAAGAAGGCTAAGAAGTTATTGTTAATACTAGTATTCAAAATGTTGTGCATTAGTCTTAATTGGTTCTAAAGGGGAAGTTGTTGGGGGATGTTGTTCTTACAAATAGGATATTACTGAGAAAACAGACTGAGGTGTTTTCCTATCTGTGGCAGTTTGCTCATACAGACTGTGCTTCTTCCTGACAGACCTTCCCACATCCTGCTGGCCATCGGGATTCCCTGTGAGGTTGCTGGGAATGCCCTGCGGCTCAGTGTGGGCAGGCACACCACCACAGACGACATAGACCTGATCATACAGGACCTACAGGAGGCAGTCACCGCCATCACAGCAGAGGAACAGTCAACTCAGAACTCGTGCTGATTGGTTCGCTGGTGTATCTACATGCTCACAGAGACTTAAGTTATAAATATACAGACTGTGCTCCTGTCAATGATGGGAAACAGAGTTAGCTGGCTTGTAAGATCATTTGCCTCAGCCTAATAATATTGTTTTTAATTAAGACCGGTGCAATGGCCAAGTGGGTAGACTTTTCACCTTGCACTCCATAGGTCGTAAGTTCAATCCCTGGCAAAGTCACACCAGAAACTTTAAAAATGGTACAGTATGAATTATGTGCTTAGCACTCAGCATTTGGGAAAGAGTATGAGAGTTAAACAGACACCACTGCCAGTGGACTAGCCTAGAAAGGGAATACAACATGATATTGCAACAATTGTTCTTAAAATGTTTGATCTGACAATTTGTAGTAGTAGGTTGCATTTCATTTCTGTGGTAAATGTGCAATAAAATTTGCATTACTAGTGTACACAAATACATGTATCTTTAATTTTGGATGGTCTATGTCATTGTTGCTGGTTATTTAAGCATACTGCAATTATTACTTCAACAGCTAGGAGGCCCCACTGCACATACATAAACAATAAGTAAATGAAATAGATAGCCTTTTATGAAGGATTGTGCATACACCATAAGGCAAACACCTATTGCCCTTGTGATTTTGATATGTCGAAAAATGGGAGTAGGAAGAAATACAAAACTGAACACTGGCAGGCTACTTTCCAGACTCATTTCCATTGAGTGAGAGGAATGGCAATCAAAGTGTTTAACCATGACTTTCGTCCAAGCCCTTCTCCATATATATGTTACTTCTCTCCTCTAGAGTTGCCCAGACTGTTCCATGACGTGGTGTCTGACTGCATGTCCTGATCTCGTGCTGTCACGGCCAAGGAAAGTGCACTTTCTGTCAATGCATCTTGGGAAGAATAGCTTTCAGCCACACTCACTGACACAGGCCCTATTTGACGATCTATCAACGCGAGCCTCTCCCCTAGCTCTGTGGCAACGTTATCGAGTCTTTTATAACTTTTGTCGAAGTCCTTCTCCATGTCTCTCAGTTGCTTGGCCATCGCGTCCCACATACAGTCCGTACGGGCCGTGATGTTCTCCCAGAACCGTCGCTCCATACCCGCCACCGTCTCCATGGTTTTGTCCATACTTTCTTGTATTGCCGATCTTCTGAAGTCTTCATGCTTTTCCATTTCATTCCATTTCTGAAAGTCTCTTCGATCCATTTTCGCCTTCAGAAATGTCCCCTGTCTCAGCACGCTGGTCGTGTCGCGCTCGATATGTTGGACGTGCTTCTTCACATTCCCCGCTTTGTATTCAGTGCGTCCCGCCAACCGGTCCACCTCGAACCGTATGCGCTGTTCCTTTACATCTATTTCTGCTGCGGCAACTCTTTCTTTCCTATCCAGATGTAGAAAAGAATTTTTCGACGTCTCGTCTCTCTTCGACAAATTTGAAGCCAAATTCAAACTATGTTCCACCTTCCGAACACGTGATTCCACCTGTTGTTTGGCCTTCTCCTCCGCCCGTGAGACATCCTGGTCCCACTTCTGTGACTCCGCAGCTGCTGCTTCAAACTGTTTCTCCACCTCTAGCTCAATCCTTTTTCCTGTCACATCCATCCAGGCTTTTTCAATATTTTCTGTGGTGTTATTAGTTTCCTGAGGTGCGATAGGGACATCGATCCACTGTGGCGGGTGTACGTTCGAGCTAGCGGTAGACTGAGTAGATGTGTCCAGGTGAGTGTCTGTTGTATCGGCTGGTTCAACGGACGAGTGGCTGTCCTCACAATCCATCAAACAGTAGGCTTTCAACACGTCTTGTAGTTCAGCTAGTTCGTCGCCCTCCTCCACCTTAGCCTCACGAGCGTTCCACAGTCTGACAGCCTCGATGTAGTACGTCATCTGTTTGTCGTCCATGGGCTGCAGGCACGTCTGGTAGAGGTCGTCCAGTTCTGCCCTGGCTGCCTGTCCTCCCAGGATCTGCAGTATCGTGTGGATCTCGACTCGTAGGATCGGCATCCTGGACACAAGCATCTTGTGACCCCAGTCAGACAAAGCCTGACGAAATGCACCCACCCGCCGAAGCTGCTTGGCAAAAGCAATGCAGTCCAGGGACAGGGCGTTACCGTCATTCCCGACGCCGGTCTCTTCGTCTTCTGAGCCACTGTCGCATCCTTTGCATCCCGTCTCGTCTATTTGCCCGTACGCTATAGGAAGGACAAGAGTTGTTCCTTCAAAAAGGAGTCGACACAGTTCGGCGTAGATTTTTCTGTGCTGGTCGGACACGTCCTGTCTGGTGCCTGTAGCCATGTTTAGGGCACTGGTGTGTTAAGGTTGTTAAGGGCTTTTTAAGTGGACCTCGCGCACACTTCAGTCGGAGTCAATGAAACACATCCGTATCATTGAGTTCCATATTTTCAACACCGTGTGAAACCAGCTAACGGACTGGTACTGACTTCGCCCCAAATAACAGCACTCCTTTTTTTCTAGATTTGAAAGGTAAAGACCTTTTTTTTGCCTACCTTTCTGGGCCATTCGCGTATGTGTACAATCATACAATGTATTTCCTGGTCCCTTCATTACAAGTGCTCCATTCCTGCAAAGATTTTCTTTGCCGCTACGCGGCGGTTCTGATCCATGGCGATTTCAACACCATTGAAGTGCTTTGAACTGCCAGGTTTGCCGCGCGTTTCCCTAAAATTGGAAATACCGCTAAATGAGAATAGAGAGTTACGATTTTCCGTCCTGACATCTGTTTGGTTGGTTTTCATTTATATGGCATTGTGGGGTTGGCAAAAGTGAAGGAGTATTGATTGAACCTCCTTGGTTAAATGTAGGTTCAATGTACAAAGACAAGAAAGACATTTGGCAGTTTTTTCCATCTTGTGTTTCATCTTAATACAAACTTCTTGAGCAAATTAAAGCCGAAGTACACAATAGCATTATCACTGAGTTAAGATATAACGTTAACGCGTTACAGAATACATCCTATCTTACAATCTATATCATAATCAGGTATTGAAATGTGCTTTCATACTGGGCATTGTCAACAGCATAGCATAAGTCCATACATTTTCAGATGTGACAGTAACGTAAAATAGTACGCCATCTTCATTTTCCATCGTCTACTTGTTTGGACCATTCAATGCTTCGTGCAACATGAGTGCCGTCACGTAATAAAAAACAAGAAGCGAACATCAACAGCTCTGATGTAAAATATGGCCTCTAGCAATACATTTGTACAACCTTGTTAAGTGATCATCTGGTATCTGTATCACTACGTGTACACCATTATGCATTTGGTAAAGCTGGTGTCATATGGCATGCTTGCGAGTTGAAGTGTTACAATAATCAAAAAGATGTTTACCTGGTTACCAGGCATTTCCGGCCCAAACCAAACCAAACCAAAGGACAGATTTGTCCGCAGGTGAAAATCCTGTTTAATCAACTGTGCTCTCCCCATAATCATACAGCTCAAGCAGGCAAAGTTGAAAGGCTGGCTTCCAGCTGTGGATGAAACTACCCTACAGGTTGCAAAGGAATAAAATGATCAAAGGTTGAAAGAATATTGAATCTGACATCTTTTGTGTGATCTTGTGCACTTAAGAGTAGTAGAGGGTAGCTTGGTGGAGTTCTGTCAAGCTGATGATGCCACGTTTGATTGAATGCCAAGAAAGCAGACAACTTATATAATACAAGACTTTGCTCCCCTGCTCTGGACATCAATGCCCGAGTTTGTACTATAACTGTATATTGGTGAACATGTGGGGATGTTTGTCAGTGGGAAAATAAAGCATACTTTTTTTATATACTGTATCCTTTTATTGGAAAGGCTACCCTGTAATTTGTGTGGAGTCAGAGAAAACATGTACCTCATTTTACATCAGCATTTGCCTGAGTTTATAAAAATGATGTTTTCTGTGCTAGCCCTACTACATATATGCTGTATAATACTAAGTTCTTGGTCTACTGTACAAGTTTTTTGTCTACATGCACAATTACACCCTGGATGAAAATGTATAAAGATTTTGAAACTGTTTACAGTGAGGATAGTAATTAGCAGCTGATTTTTGTTGGGCTTGCTACACACCATTCCTGACATGGCATGTACCAGTTCAGAACCTGTCACATTCACATGAAAAAAAATGTGCTACATTTTAGCTAAATAAGTGGGTTGCAACAACCTTTAATCTTGTTGAATGAAAATTGCATCCCATTGTACAAGCCAAAGCAAGTGAAATAAAATTCTTCACATTTATCATTTTGTTAATAGAATAGATAGAGCCTCCCGCTGGACACTAAACACTGAAACATTGTGATAGATATTAAATGTTCTACATGTATATTGAATAAGGGGTTCTTTGAATAACCACTTCTTTTAATGTTGGCAGCTTAAGTTTGATATAAAATCTTGAATCCACAGCACCTACGTTTTTCATTAAACATGCTACAACCAGAGTCTCACAATATGGCAGACATCCATGTAATACACACTTATTCTAACTACACCAGCAGAAAGAATAGATGTACAGTGAATATAATTTCTTCAGTTCTAAGGCCTAGTTTCTTCTGTATGTCTCTTTGGCAAGGAGTTGGGAGACAAAAGTGCCAATCTTGCAATGCTGCCTACATACATTTAAGTACTTAACATCTATCAATGGTTACCTGATAAAAGGAGCTCATCCTCCTGACTTTTTTCTCATTCATACATGTACATGATCATGACTAAAAGTTCAAATGTAATTTTGTAACGTGTAATAATGTGCACCTGTGTGTGGGACTGACTTGACCTACATGGACAGCAGTTAACAAACATAGTGTGCATTGTGAACATCAAGGACAGGTACACATGTATCATATATACTGTATTCCATAATGGATATCATTCTAATAACATCTGAATGTTCTTACACCTTCCCTGTATAATCAAAAATCCTTCTCTCACTATGAGCTGCCACAAGTTGTCAGGCCACACTAATTTATTTTCTTGGTTTGCAGATCCATTTGTAAACATTAAGTAAGAGACAAAGACCAAAAACAGTGTGGAAAACGTGAAGCTGACAATATTGACTCCCTAAAACTGTGTATGCTGAGGCATGGTCCTCCTGCTCTGTTTTTATGTTCATCTTCCACTTTACATAATTATTATTCTTAAATCACAGAACCAACAAATTAAATTGGCATGGCCTAAACTTGTGCCTCTTCTTAAAGCTTTCACATAATCCTGTTCATCTGAACAACATTTAACATTTAGTGCATGATACACCATGACTGCTGATAACATGGAAATATTGAGTTTTGATAAAATGACAAAGAGAATTCTGAAACAATGATAAAAGAGTCTAAACTTGGTAAAATCTGCAGTAGATACTGCAGTCCTGAGCCTCGTCCGTACTAACATCTCCAGCAATTTTACAGCTGCTACAACTTTCTGGTCACAAATCTACACCACCCTGTGACAGACGTTAAGTACATGTACATTCTAACAATCAGTATATCAGCAGTTGGGTGAGTCCACTCCACAAGGGGGGGAACCTGCACCATGTAGAAACTGAGATGTTGGTCCTTCTTCCTTGTTATTGACTAGTGGTCGCCGTCGGGGCCGAGTATTGATGTGACAAAACCTGCAACATCAACTGTCTGCTCATTGTACTTCTTGTAGAAGTCATGTTCCTGAAAATGACAGCGTATCATCAGTCTGTGGTACACAAATCTGGTGCTATTCCTCTTCAGTAACATAATTATGTTGTGTACCCACTTTGCCAGCATGCCACGGTGACTCCCTGTATCACAAAGCATTGTTTGTACCCCTACTTACATTTGATGACAATTACTGCCACTCCAAAACACCTTTCCACCCATATCTTTGTTTTGTTGATAATGTTCTAAATGTCATTTCCACATTGAGCCTTTAATGTCTGTTGTACATTTGCCTCATCTTTCTGTTCTACAGCTTCCCCATTAATGAAGAAAAACAAGACTGATAAGACTTGACTAACCACAAGACCAGCATAGTTGGGCCTTTCTTTGCAGTTCTTGTTCAGGCTGAAAAAGAAAACAATTTAACTGACTTCATGGAACTCTGAACACTTAACAACTAGAACATAGTTGCATTAGAAAAAGGCCATATGGATTTGTGCAGTCTGGCATGGGCCCACTGAATCACCGATCAGAAGGCAGTAAAGACGAAGGAAAAGCCAAGGACCGACACGTTACAAATCACCCAGCTTACAACATGTAAGTGCTTTCATCCGTGAAAAGCAATCAGTAGGAGGGCTGCTGATGTGGTGAGCTGATGAGAGATGTGAGGATGAATTCAAAGCTGTGATGTCCCAAAGGTATTTTCTAATCTGTGGCATCTCTAGCCTTTGTACGGTTTGTGGGGAATGTAGCAGCAGGAAATGAGGTGTACTCAGCCAAAACACAGATACATGTATTCTAAGAGTATGTCTACTCACCCATACACGCAGATATGCTACAAGTACAGATAACAGCTTAAGCTCATAATTCAATCAAGAACTTTGAATTCCTTCTTCAAAGATCGGCCAGTCAAGCTGCTATGATGAATTGTTCCTATTGTAATAATATGTCTGGATTTTACACCGTAAACATGAGAAAATCAATGGTTAAGTTCCCACCATTGCGCACAGAAGTCTACAAACTCTGGGGAGAACTTGTCAGCAGGCAGTTTGGGGGACGGCTCCTCCACTACCTGCTTCAGCTGGGCAAACGGCGTCAACCAGGACTCATACGGGAACTTCCCTGTGGCTAGCTCAATCTGTCAGGAGGCACAGCACAACACGGTTTGGGCCAGTTCTACAGTACACAACCCACATCAAACTAGATCTAAGAGAAGGACCATGTTTGTACTGTATTTGACATAGGAAAGCTGGTATTTGCAAACATAAGGGCAAGATTAGGTGATGTGCAACTACATAATGTCATGATTTCAAAAATATTGAATGCAGATATGGTTGTATGATACTTGTAGAGTGACTCTCTTGAGCATATTGAGCCTGGATACCAAGGACTGTTGGTATCCTATCTCTTAAGAGGACTTGAAATTTCCCTAACACTTTACAATCTTGAAGAGGCTCTCAGTTTGTATTACCAGTATTACCTAAAACATTCCTGAGACTCACCAGTGTGATGCCTAAGCTCCAAATGTCTGATCTGACATCATATCCCTTCTGATTCACATCTGGGTTTATCCTCTCTGGCTGGAAATGCAACATAATGCAATAGCTACCATCAAAAAGACATACAGTACCAACTGACCTACATGTAAGACAATAAAACTCTTTCATAGCAAATCAAACATCTTCTGGACTACATGAATATTAGATTAGATTAGAGTAGAGATCACAGTAGGCCGATTGGACACTGGTCTCTGTCCACCAGTCACCCGAGGCTACATCCTTGCAATTAGGTTTTATATGAAAGCATTATTTCTCAGATAACTTATATCCTGGCAGGAAGCATACTTCTGTCAATGAAAATGTAGTTTTTTTACTAAACTGCTCACAACTGGGGAACCTGGGGGAATATTTAATCCTGTTACATGTCGGCAGAGACGCAGGTGTCAGTGTGGGTGGTTACATCCTGTATCACAACCTGATGGGACACAACAGACCATCTTCAGCTTTACAATCATTGTAATCAAGTACTGGGGTGTCTCAACAGGAGTTTTTGCAGGAAATTAGCACAACGGGCAAACTTTACACTGGGTAGTAATGATGTAAAAGCTGTTTCCCTTACCGCCATATATGGCTTGCACCCAGCATCTAGAGTCTTGGCCACTGAATCCACCAGGTAACCGCTGATGCCGAAATCACAGATCTTCACACGGCCTTTTCTGTCTATCAAGATATTTGAGGGCTTTATGTCTGTAAAGATGACAATAGTATTGCAGGTTACATTGTCTTACCTATTCTGGTCCATAGCTAAACATCTGAAAGTGAAACATTAATTCTTTCTTCAGATTTCTTTCACAAGTGTCAATCTTGACAGCGTATCTTATGTACATGTAGGTCATATCACAACTTCGAGTTAAGACTTAATATTTGCAAGAGTTAGCCTGTGTTACCACATCTTTTCCATAACATTTTGTAACATGTATCCAAAAGCAGCTTACTGCATCCCTTACCTCTGTGTATGACCTTTAAACTACCATGTAAAAAGTACAGTGCATCCACCACCTGAAACAAACAACAACATCTGGTAAGACAATGGAAGGATTTATATCTTGTGAACAGTCTTATGCAGACATACCTACAGGTTTTATTTCAACTGTTAACACATATATGTATATGTAAATCCTCATTTGTATTAGATATGTATGAGTTATGTATTTTGAATATTACAAATGCTAAATTGTGTCATGATTCATTTACAAGTTGCACACAAGTAATGTGCAGATGGATCTGGTTATTAGACTGTGTTATTGCTACCAGATTGTGCAAGAGATAGCAGAATGAATGACTTATTTAACTCACTGCCACAGCTATTTTGCCGATGACATCCTCAGGGATGGTCTTGTCCAGGCTGGAAACTTTCTTGTAGAACTTGTCGAGTGAGATGTCCATCACTTCCATACAGATCCATACATCACCCTGGATAATAACAAGACAACACACCTTACAAACAGCCGGAAATAATGACAGCCAAACAATGCCACAATGTCTATGCCTAAACTGTGTGCTTTTTCTGTGTGCACTTGTGCAATTTTCACATCAAAAGGTAAACCTGTCATACCGGTGGTTACTTCTTAAGTAACCAATGAAATTTTGTATACTTTGCTTATCCATCAAGTTTCCTTCTGAGAGAGAGTAGCAGTAATAGTATCCAATATCCAATATTATTAGAATATACTGCTGTGGAGGTCCCACCACAGGGGTAGGCAAGAGTTGGGAGAGGAAGTTTGTTTTGTAGTGGATAAGAACATGAACTTAAGGGTAACATGCTCTCCAAATTCAGACTTGCTATGACGCAGTATATCCATGGTAACATGATCCAATAATTGTATTCACTGACTCCCTTTGGTAGACACTGTCAACATCGATTTCTTGCACCATGTATACACGCTTTTTTCTTTCAGCTGGCTCAGTGTAGAGGAAGAATTGTTGGAGACACGTAATATTTTACACGGCGCTCGCTACATCCTGCCTTTATTACTGAGCAGAGTCAGCTTTCATCACTTCTAATCCTCCTGAAATCAAAGAATTAATTTTACACCGGCGGATGCACACCGGTAATTGTATATTTACACCACATCATAGACTTTATGGATTTTCATTCTTGCCTGAATCCTTCCTCCTGCGCAGTGTAATTCCACCCATCATCTTACCCTAATCCCCTCCATATCTCCCTTCAACAACATGGCATTCAATCTTCCTGCACAGACACTGCCGGCAAGTTAACCTGCCTCACCACAGTAATTTCTATCAATTGCGTCTTCATTGACAGCCGTTCTGCCAAGCACTTGGCCCTGGTTTATTAGACCCTTTGATGTTCAGAATTAATTTCTGTCATCCTATATCAAATATCTACTATCAGCTGCTTGCAGTGCTCTTCCACATTGTGCTCTTGCAATGAAATATGCCTTTGGATAATAGTTTTCTTGTTGTATTGTTACACAGTAAACATGATGAAAGCATATTTCATCACTCTGAACATCATTTTCTAATATGTACTCAGATTTACACTTGATTGCTCTCACCTTTAGGAAATGAGCAACAACAACTCAGCATTGCTACCCAGGAAAACATAATTCTGATTGAACATAATCCAGGAGACAATTTAGATAAAGTTTGAAGACTTACTTCTCTAAAGAGAGCTCCGTAGAACTCTACTGTGCAAGGGTGGTCTGAGCTGCGCATGGAGATGTCCAGGTCCATCAGCAACCGTTTCTGTTCTTTACTGTTGACTGAGACAGGAATCCTCTGGAGGGAGGAAACAAACACACAAAAGTATCCACCGAAGTCAGTCAAGGTGTTCAAACATACCCTATCATAGTGGCAATATTACAGTTCTTTGATTCTGTATTTAATATCCTCAAGCTAGAAATTAGGAAACAAGGAGGTTGGCATTACAATAATAAATTCAGCCACATATTTGTATTGTACTGTACATTGTACTGCCTGGCAATATCTTTATTCAGAATTTCGGTCTTGTTGCTTTGGCCGTGGATTAGAGTCCAAATATAAAAGATCTAAGAACTAGCCCTCCAGCTGAACGGGTAAATGCACTTACATGTGGAATCCTGCTCTATATGTAAACTTCTATTTTCATCAGATCCTGTGAACAGGATATGCTCCTGGGCAAAACAACCTTTGTTATAGCTGTATTGAAGTGTTGCTGCAACCTTTTTCCATCCATCACAACATAGTAAGCCTAAAACTTCACACTAGAATGACTGTCAATGACTCGCTACAAAGACATGTAGTACATTACAACTTATTTTCATGACTTTTCGAACAGTTTGAAAAATCCTGTCCTCGTCTGACCTTTACAGCCATGACTGTATTGCTGGACTCGTGCCTCATCTTCTCCACGATGCCGTACGCCCCCCTCCCCAGCTCACAGATGGGCTTCAGGTCATCTGCATTGCACGTAAACTCCTGAAGCAGGGATCAACACGACACAAATGTCACATCACAGATGAGCAGGATTGGCTCTTCATGTCACAAATAGGGAGAATAGAAATCTGTGTTACCTGGATAGAATACAGATGGGGTTCAAAGTAACTGGTTCTACCATATATCTTTCATAAAGTACAAGTACATGTGCACCACTTGAGGCAGTGACTGATGAGGGACCAGTGATCGCTGTACAGTCACTTGGTGACTGTCGTATGGTGGAAAGGGGCCTAATGTCAGTCAGACAGATGCATTTATCATGAACTCTGCAGTGTCACAGGTTAGAAAGGCTAAATCCACCTGCAGCCTGAACCGATTGTACATTAATCATCTTGTAGAGGGAAAAGGGACAAATACAGTGCTGCAAAGTGTATCAGGTGGTTCAAGCCAGATACAAATTAATGTAATATACTAGCCCTTCCTTTCATCTTAATGACAACCTAACAGGCTTTTTTCCTCTGTCCCACATTGATTTAATTCATCAGAGGAAGGTAAAACAGATGCAATGCAATGAATTTTCATAGTGATCTGATTTTGTATTATGAATTGAGTAGACAAGTAGAGTTAGATTCACAGGATTTTGTGGTTATTTGTGCTCATCCAGTGATTAGTGTATGGTAGAAATAGATTTTATGGAGGAGATTTCCTGTCAAGCCCACCGGAACTGGAGCATCTCCACTACCCCCCTGGGGATATATGATTGACATTTTGGGTTCAGCTATTATAGTTTGGTGCAGACAGGTAAGCTTGCAAATTGTTACTGTAGACATTACTGTCACAACTGAAATATTGGCTGCAACAGAATA